ATGCCCACCAACATGCCGTTTTCAAAAAGAAACGGACCTCATGGAGGTGGGTAATGAGTAATAAATAATGAGAAACTAGTTGCGCATTACTCTCTTACAACCCTCCTCTACCACACAGCCACCACATGATCTTACCCATGGAACAACCCAAGAACGCAAGAGTGCATTACCCCATTACCCTATTACCCCTCATGTTTGTATGTATGTGAACAGATTTCAACACTTCGAATGCCCATGTTATTTTAGAAAAGAATTGGACCTCTTGGAGGTGGGTAATGAGTAATGAGTAATGAGAACCTATTTTATGCATTACTCTCTTATTACCCTCTCTACCACACACACACCACATGATCGAACCCATGATCTAACCCAATAACGCAAGAGTGCATTACTCCATTACCCTATTACCTCTCATGTTTGTATGTATGTGAACGGATTCAACACTTTCAATGCCCAACATGCCGTTTTCAAAAAGAAATGGACCTCTCGGAGGTGGGTAATGAGTAATGAGTAATAAGAAACTATTTGCGCATTACGCTGTTATTACCCCCTCTACCACCCACACACCACACTGACATGATCGAATCCATGGAACAACCCAGGAACGCAAAAGTGCATTACCCCGTTATCCTACCCCTCATATCTTTAAATACGTGTTTTTTTGAACTTCAGCTGCGCTCAGCTACTTGTTTCCAAACAAGAGAACGACTTGAAGACGTGGGTAATAAGGTCATGAGTAATGAGAACTGTTTGAGCAGGGGACTTGGATTGGGGAGCACTTCCGGCAGTTCATGTACCATTTTGATCAATCAGAGTACATAACCCAATAATCCAGTTGATGGTGTACATTCCTCTGAGGATGCTACAAGTCCATCAATCGGATATGCCATCGCTTTTGACGTTAGGGTGTTCTCCTCATCAGTGAAAAGAGCAAAACGTGTACATACTTTGTCAATCAGTGTCTCATCAATCAGCGTACATCACTCGAAATCTTAACTCGATTGGACAAATTAATACAACAATTGGGTCCGCATTCCCACGGTCCACACGGCCGCCTCAATTGCAATGCTAAGCTTCGCGTCGTCGACTCGTCTTAAAGAGCTGTTATAGCCGCCAAGGAGCAAAGGCAATATCACCATGAGGTTGTCAAGCCCTGAATACCACCCCAGACTCCTGAAGCCCTTGAGAAAGCTATTGACCGACTCCACGGCCGACGTATTGACCCAGTGTAGTCCGCAGTAGCTCTCTGGACAATTGGAGGGGCCGCACTTGTGCACTTCGGCTCCAGCCTTCGCGTAGTGGATTTGCGTAGTGGAATCTGTGCATGAAAAGGTGTACATCAGCCTTTATTCGTACAACAAGAATCGATGTACACGTTTCGATCCAAGGATCACAACTCTCAGCTCCGGCGCAACTGCAAATGAGTTCCAATGTACACGCAACGTTGTATGACTTTTCGCTTGGCAACAACGCCCTCTGCAAATAAGCCTTAACGTACACAAATTGTTGAAGCCCCATACCAGTACTTGAAAGGGCGCCTTCTCACCTGTCGACACTAAATCTAACGTTGGCAAAGTACCCCGGGGCCCTGCGCATGCAATAATTTCGACGCGCACACGCGTTGTCGTACACAAGGATCTCGGGCAGGTCCTCGCGTCTCAGCCGCGTGTACAGCACGGCAAACACGTCCCTTGGGCTCTCCCCACGCAGCATCGTGTGGAACCCGTAGCTCAATCTGTGGGGGCAACAAAACACAAAGACCCCCCGACTTCTATTCGGCCGCTTGCTGGCGTTTCCCTTCTTCCCCGAGAGCTTTCCGGCGGCCTTGACAAGCCCGAGTACGTTCTCGGCGTCCCATTCGGTCACCGACTTTCCCGTAGCGCATTTGAACTCTTCCGAGCTTCTGCTCCGGCCGTCCGGATGCTCAAAGCTTGAGTAGTGCGTCAAGCCCCGCTTCTGCTCCCAACCGGGAAGGGTGTAGCACGCCAAGGCGTCCTGCTCGGCACGGAAGCTATGCTCTGACGGAAGCGGATGCAGCCCGGCCCCCTCCTCGTCTCGTCCCAACCTCTCTCTTAAAAGTGAGCGCTCGTGATCGCTCATGGCCTCCCATTGCTCCGCGCTCGGCTCCAATCTCTCGATCCCTGGGAGCAGCTCGTTTGCCAACCCTCGCGCCTCGTCCAGCCGTCGGCGCTCCTCGATGCTCAGGGGGCGCCTTCGGGCCTCCGCAAGAAGGACGACCGCTCTTTCGAACGAGTCGATCGCCTTGTGCACCCAGCCTCGCCGCCCATTCACCTCGAACCCCGTTGCTCCCCTAGCAAGGAGCGCGAGCATGTACAGGTGATGGAGGGTGCGCATGAAGAACGCGGGAAACGTGAGCCCTCCGTACGAGTCCAGGAGCCGCCGCAAGACGGGCGCCTCTCGTCCCAACTCGCGGCGGTCCTCGAGAGAGGCCTCGCCGCCCAGCAAGAGCTTCCGGACCACGTGCAGCGTGGCAACTCCGATCAGGTCCTCGTCCGAATCGTGCGCGCCGAGGGAGTAGAGGAGCTCGGTCCACTCGCCAACCCAGTGCTCCCAGACGTTTGGGCTCAATCCCCGTCTCGCAAAGTCGGCTTGGATGCTCGTCAGCAACTCGAAGACGGCCAGGTTGCGGTCCCGCACCATGGTCCGCTGCTCAACGAGGAGGCGCCTCCTGCCGTCTTCCGGAAGCGGCCCTTCATCCTCACCAGGCCCAAATCGCTTCACGATTCGAGGGTCCTCGTGAGCGAGCCCGTCCAGGAGCGCCTCAAACTCCGCCTTCGAAAGCCGTTCCCCTACCTTTTCATCCTTAGGGCGGTGCTGAGAGAGGCGCGCGATCGCCTCTCGTAGCTCCGGTTGCAATAAAAGCTTGCGCTTCATGCCGCCGCCCTCGAGGCCGGCTCCGCAATAGTCGCGCCCCGAAATCGAGCTCTTCTCGAGGAGCGTTCCGCTCGACTCTCGGCTCGGGTGGCAGAACGTACGTTGCGCGTCGAGGGAGGAGCTGCCAAGCCCCCCAGGCTTTTGCGCGCCGTCGGTGCTCGCCAACCCCACGATGCCGTCGCAAAGCAGCACCTGCACGTGTGTGCACAAGTGTACGTTCAATTTCGTGTACATCATCACATATGATGGACTGGGGGTACGGCCGACCACGCAACGTCCAGCACCTTCTTCGATTTCATTCAAAGACCATGGTCTGTAGGAGACCTGAGACAGCAGAGACGGCACGGACACGAGCGTCTCGTGTCCAAAATTGATTGAAGTCTTGTGGGCTTTTACTCTCACCTTGGGATGGGGCCCGCATAGCGAGCAGCAGTCTCGTAGCCCGAGCCCGACCAGCTTGAAGAAGTCGAGGCTCGCCCTCCGCCACGTCTCCTCGCTCAAGACGGCCACTTCCGGCGACCGTTGGAAGGCCGCTTGATGAGTTGCTAGCTCGGCCTTGAAGGAATGGCCGTGCTGCATGCCCCGCAAGAGCAGTTGCAAGCTCTCTTGGACGAAGATCGTCCTGCGGTTCCACGTGAAGAGCCCCAAATGCTCGCCATCGAAGTGGATCGCGTGCGCCGCGTTGAGGCACTGACAATGGTACACTCGCACCCGCACTTGTTGGCTCCATTGCGAGGCCGTGACGGCCGCTTCGACCCACTGCTCGACCCACGAACCGCCACACGCTGGGGGGCCCAAAGGGCAGGGCGCGCTCAACAGGCCCTTCTCTGACAGCTCCGCAAAGTGGCAATCCCTCAGCTTGCTCACGGGAACAGGGCGGTTGAGCGAAGTCACGAGCGGATCGTGAACGGCATGCGCGTCGCTCAGTCGCGCCAGCTTGGGCCTCAAGACTTGAACGGCCTCCGTTGTCAGAAGCATGACGGGGGCGCGAACCCGCGAAGCCTCTCCGTGCTCGCATCGACCGCCCGCGGATGCCAGGGAGGCCATCGAGCAGCTCGTGCACGCGTCGATCCAACCCCGGATCGCCTCCTTCCCCCTTGCTTCCGTTGGCGGCCGAGCGTCCCACCCTACTCTTGTTGCTGGCTGCGAGCCCTCTTTGTGCGCCTCCCAAAAGGTCTTGTTCCGCCTCGCCCGTTTGCGAGGGGGCTGCTCCTCAACCAACCCCCCCTCCCTTCCACGGTCGCCCCCCTTGCTCCCCCAATCATCAAAAACGTGTGCGACGGCCTCTCCAAACAGCCGATCGTGCTGTTGACAGAAGCACGAGTCGCCGGCGCACTTTGCCGGCTCGTGGGGCCGCTTCTCGAGCAACTCAACGAGGTACCGCTCCTCCTCCGATAGCCCCGCATCACCCCCCCCTTGCGAGGAGGGACCTGCCGTGGGCACCCCTCCAATCTCCGGCAACTTGGACCCGTTCCATGCCTTGAGCCAGTCCATCGCGGCTCTCGACAGGGGCTCCGAGAGCCTCAGGATCAGCTGGTCGGCCATGGAAACGTCTCCTTCATCCGACCTCAGAGCCTTCTTTGCCGCCAAGACGTGGGAGCAATCCACGAGGCTTGGGCAGCCGTCCCGCTTGCCCTCACAATACCACGCGCCCTTGCTGCTCCGAAACAGCATGCGCCTCTTCGGGCCCGGAGCCCCTTGGAGGTTCTCGGCCACGGCAAAGTAGCTCCCCGTCGCGTCCACTCCGATCCGTTCGACCCTCGCCCCCCTGCCGAACGACTCGTGAGTAGGCGGCTCCGCCGTCGGGGCCCAACTTTCGCTGATGGCCGCCATCGCTAGCTTGTGAACGCAAGGCGCGTTCTCCATGAGCCGACCTCTATGATCGCAGGTGCAGCAGAGCTCGCCGAGCGTGCTCCACCAGACGGTCTCTGGAAGCGCGTGGGTCTTCGATGGCTTCCCCAACTCCTTTGGTCGGCCCTTTCCGTTGTGATCCCAAGCACTCATGTAGAGCCTAAGCGGAGGTGATGCCGATTCCGTCGGTAGGTAGACACGGGCCAATCCCTCGGGGGACGCCATCATTTCGAGGTAGCGCACCCCCTGAGCCTTGATGCCCAGCGCCGACCCCTCCTGCAATGCACTGAGGAGGGAGCACGTCTTTGAGAAAGACCTCCTCGCCATTGTGAGGCAGCATCAAGAGTATAGATCCTTTTGAATCGGTGTCTCTGGTTTCAAATAATCGAGACACTTTGTGGCCGCACAGCTCAGAATCATCGTGAAGCAACCTCAGCAGAACCGTGAACTCTCTGGAATGGCGATGACGGCGATTTGCTCCTGCGATGTAGCAACGATGGCATTTCAAACGAACTGGGCAAAACGAGATTGCAGCACACATTTTGTTGTGATGTTCATCAAGACTTTTTTTTTGAGAGCTCACCTCGGTGTTCGTTTCTTCCGCAGCGCCTTTCGCCCTTGGCCGCACCCCTTTTGCCATCCCTCGCCTGCCAATTTGGGAGGCCGCCATGGCAACTAGCCTCTGCACTGGCATCGTTCTCGCATTCTCTCGACAGAGGAAGCTCAGCAGATCGTCCGTGAGCTCGAGGGCCTGGCTCCAAGGACTTCTTCGCGTCTCACGCCGCAAGACGGCCGTGTCTTGTCCGCCATCCTTTCGTTTGCTCAACGTGACCAACAGACCATCAGTGCTCTCCGTCACCACGCCGAGCAGTTTGTGGACGCAGCTCAAGCACACAATCTGCTTGCATTGCTTCGACTTTGGAATCTCAGCGCTGATGAGGTACCCCATCGAAGCACCACGATCGCCTTTGCGGAACTTGAGCATCAGCAACCCTGCACCCCCCTTGCTCTTCACCCAAACCTGATGCAAGCACGTCAAACACCTGACAGCAAAACGCTCCTTGCAAGTCTCAATGTCAACCCTAATCTCACCAGACGTGATGCTCTCGACAGTACCTTGCTCTATGTGGGCCAACACACTGCTGAAATGCTGAAGACTAGCTTGGGACTCCATTGTTACCACCCCTTCCTTGGTCTACTCTAAGGGGGGCGGACCTCCCTAAGCTCCGTGCGCCTCCACCCTGTCTGCTGCTACCCGGTCCGGATTTACTACCGGGCCATCAAACCTGCCTTTTGGACTCAACTCACTCTCCCTAAGTGCCTCAGCCCCGACCTCGGCTGTTGGTACCCGGTCGCTTGGCCCTAAGTTCCGATCGTTCGACGCATCAGTGATCGAAAGTGTCCAACAATCGTCGTGGGGGGTGCCTACGTGGCATCCTCTACGGTACATGCGACGAAATTTACCGTCACGGCCGAATCCGGCATGAGCGTTAACGCATTTTCACCGATCGATCCGTCCTGATCAATCTCGGCCGTTCATTTTAGTCTCAACTTCATTTGGTAGGCCCGCTACCTTTCAAGTTTTGTATTGAATTTGAAAGGTTGACCGTTACCAGTGACGTCGGGCACGACGTTGGGATGGCCGAGTCTACATTCAAGGTTCAAGTAACGATGAACCGGCGAGCTCTCTCGATACGGCATGACCGTCGCAGTACTGTTTGGTTCGTTGCGAATTGCCTGGCCGGTTCATCGTTGCGCGGGCAACTCGCCCGGCCGGGCCGCCGCACACTGCTATTACCTACTCGGAGGCAGGCGGCCTTCGGCCGGAGCCCGGCGGGCCACGGCGGCCGCGGTCCTGCCAGCCCCTCGGCTGCGCCGCCGGCGAGTCCTGAACCTCCTTGAAAAGCAATTTTCTGTTCCGACGTGGCACTGCTTTTGCATGTTTCGCTGACACTTGGCATTCTATGGATAGCCATGGGGTGAAAATGACGTCATTGAAGTGCGCCAGTTGCAGGAGGTACGTGAGCACAAGCCTGAAGTTTGCATGCTTGCCGAACCAGACTTTGCTGCACTCTTGTGGACCGTGGTGCACTGTTTGCTGAGTCAGACGGGCATCCCCGCTCAGATGGAGGCAGATGGCGCGTTCTGAATGGCTTCTCAAGCAAGCCGGAACTCGAGGCTAGGATGGAGTGTCTCGGACTCCTTATTAGGCCTGCTCAGTGCTGGCAATTGCACCTACTTGACCTCGGATTGCAGTTGAAGGTCAGCTAGGTGTCCGTGCATTCCCTTCATTCAGAGGCACATTTCTGCAGGTTTTGCTTGTGGATTGAAGGTTTTTATTCCTCCCTTCGCAATTGCAGACTTCAGCTCGATTGAACGCTTCAGCCTGCAACCATGCAGCCTGCAAACATGGCAGAGGTTGATACCACACCGCTGATCATCAGGAAGGAAACCCACGTGTCACAGTCTCCAGCAGGATCAGTACCCGTGCGCAGGCCTCCTGCCGACAAGGGGTCTCGGCAGGCAGCTGCACAGTGGACAAGGGCGTCGATTGTGCTTGCTTCTGTCCTTGGAGTCGCCCTTCTGGCATACTTCCTGGCCCCCTCTAATCAGGCCCACCAGACCAGTGTCACGGACAACGTGAAAGATGCAGCAAGGCAGGCGGGACAGACAGGACGGGCATACCAGGTGAGCAGCAGAATGCGGTTGTATAAAACCTGGCCAGTATCATTCGCTATGCTTGGTTGAATTAAGCTCGGATTCGTATCTTTGAAATTTCCTTGCAGATTCATAGCATATTTCAAGACCAATCCGGCAAGCAGAAGATTTTAGCTTTTGAAAAGCAGGCCTTGTGACGAAAAGTTCAATTGGATTGCCTCCCTTCTGCTGCATGCATATTGTGCATGCATCGATTGTGAACAGCTCAACACATTTCCCCGCAGAACGAAGCCCAGAAGCAGGCTGGTTCAGCCTACAAAGCTGCCCAGGACACAGCTTATGACACATCAGCCAAAGCGGGTCAGGCATGGCAAGACACAAAGAAGCAGGCAAGCACACACTTGCAACCATATGATCTTTGAGCTTGAGAACATCCAATGCTAACCTAGTTCTGCTTGAGAACACCCAATGCTTAAGTAGTTTCTCTGAGATTTTCTTTTGCGCAAACTGTTATGTGCATGCCTGAAAGCCAGGGTGTTTGATGGGTGTGGATCAGGGTTTGCATGTTACACATTCTTGCTTGGAAGACCAAACTTTGATAGGTTGTGACTTGTGACCAGCGTTCTGTTGGAAAGAGCAAGCTCAATCATCTTTTTGCTTGGAACTGATGTTCAGATGGCTTCAAGCAGCTAATCAGCATCCTTTTTGTTTGCAGGCCCAGGGTGCTGCTGGCTATGCAGAGAAGCAAGGCCGTGACTGGTGGAACACTCTGACGTTTGGTCTCCTCAGGGCCCGGTCTGCAGCAGACGAAACAGCTTCTCAGGCAGAATCGAAGGCAAGGTCCTACTCAAACCAGGCACAGGATGTTGCTGACAAGACATCAAAGAAGGCTGGCCAGTACGCGGACAGCGCACAGAGGAAAGCCGGAGAGTACGCAGACAGTGCTCAGCAAACGGCTGGGGAGGCTGTGGATGAAGCTCGCCGCCAGCGTGACCAGGTGAGGATGAGCTGCATTTGAGTGGTTCGAAACTTTGTATCTGTTTCATCTGGTTTCTTTTCCACTGATGCTTTATGAGGAACACAAATGTTTTGAGTGTATGCCACTTCTTTCCTGCATTTTGCCCAGATGCTATCATCAGATCTCCTTACAAGTCAGGCTTCATGAATCTTAGCAATCGCTTCCATAAGTCAAGTCAAGTGCATTTAACTAGAGAACGCCTTGTCAGATGATTGCAATCCGTGCACTGTAATTGTTTTGGCCAGAGAATATATACATACCTTGATGTCTGAACGCATACCAATATTTTGCAGAAACTTTGTTTTAAGATTCTTCAATCTGATGTAGCTGTCAGCTGTAAAAACGATTTACAAACTTGCCTCTCTTTTAAGTTCCATGCTAGTAATGTGTTTGTTCACACACGCTGATAGGCATTTCTTAAGGAACTTTGAGCTCACTCTTCTCTTGTTCCTCCACACAGGCTGTGAACGCTGGGTATGGCCTGTGGAACAAGCTCAAGAACCTGATCTTCAGGAACGTCAACTACGCCAGCGACCAGGCCAACTGGGCTTCTGACAAGGCTGCAGACTACGCTGGCCAGGCCCAGGACACCGCGCAGGAGTATACCGATGCTGCCAAGACCGCCGCTCAAAGGGAAGCTTCCCGCGCCAAGGGTAAGGCTGGTGATGCCGCCCAGTATGCTGCTGACACCGCGGCCGAAGCCAAGAGGAAGGGAAAGAACGCTGCTCACCACGCTCAAGACACTGCGTACGAGACAGCGGAGAGCGCGAGGCAGACGGCCAGGGACACTGCCCAGTATGCCTCAGACACCGCCTACCATGCCAAGCACAAGGGGGAGCAGGCTGCGGAGTATGTTAAGGACACTGCGTATGCGGGTGGGGAGGCTGCAGGTCAGGCAGCCAAGAAGGGTGCTCAGTACGGCAGGGACGCTGTGAACTATGCCGCTGAGACTGGGGAGGCAGCTCGGGATGCCGCAGTCAAGGGTGGCAAGAACGCTGCTCAGTACACCAAGGACACGGCGAACGCTGCATACGAGACGGCGCAAGGAGTCGGCCAGGGCACCAAGGAGACCTTCGAGGACGCAGCTGAGTACGTGGAGGAGCTGGCCGAGGGGGCTGTGGATCAGGTGGGTTTGATTGGTCCATCAAACAACAGTTTGTTATTCCGTGGTCAGCACGTGGCCTGCTTTCGAGGAGTCCTGATGTAGAGGCAAAATTGGCTTGCTTTTGGACTTTGAAAGCTTTGCGATGCAAGGGGTAAGTCCGATTTCATCTACCTTTTTAGGAGCTTTCAGTTGCTTCTCTTCGAATTCGGAATGCGATTTCCTGTACGAGAGTCAGCTGTTGAATCGTCTGCCATTGAAGTTCCTTTGCGTCGCCTCCTATAGGCTTATCGCGCGGGTCAGAAGGCGCACAAGTACACCAAGGACGCTGCCACGCAAGCTGGAGAGGGGTTGGGCAACATCAAGGACAAGGCCCAGTATGTGGCAGGCGAGACAATCGAAGCTGCAGGTAGAGTCGGCGAGTCAGCCGCCAAGGCCACTCAGAAAGTGGGAAAGAAGACGAAGGGACAGGCTGTTTAAAAAAACTCGGACGAAGATGTACGAAAGCTTGCATGAGCAGGGGAGCCGAGTGGTCGTGTCTGTACGAAAGGATTGTGCATGCAATTTTGGTCTCGCTGAGCCTTGGTAGGGGTAGGTCGAGGGCTGTACAGTATTAACTCCGAGTTTCTGATCGCGTCTATACACAAAGCTGAGAGACCAAAAGTCGTGTAGTTGATAACCATACAGTATCTTTCGCTCGCTTGACTTGATATTTTAAAACTGTCGCTTCATTGCTTGTCCAGCCTAGCAACTGTCATCATTTCCTACATTCTGTCATATTAAAAATGTTCATGCTCATATCTTCAGAAATTCGACATTATGATCGATTGAAACAAACAGATGTGTGTATATGACAAGTATTCCAAATTTGTGCAAGCTGAAATTAGATGAGCCATTTGAAGTTTATTGCACCTACAATCAATTGTCTTCATAAGGAGGTTGTTGTGAATATAATTAAACAAATGATGGTACGTGATCGAATAATTGTGAGCATTATCTTAAATCTAATAGTTGGCATGTCGTATAAGAATTGTTAGTGAAGTTTCTCTTTATGTTCCTCAACAATCATAAAACTTGAATCACCACTTGCCAGAGCAAGATACTGCTCATGGTCGAAAAAGTACGAGCCGCAATTGCATACTTGCTTGATAAGGCGTGCGACCGTGCCAATTATAATTCTCAGATTTGAAGTCCCGTTTACAAGGCATGGCTGGAACCATGTCCGATCCAATCTTCGACGAACTGACGATGGTCTTGTTATGCAAGACAGCTCGAAACCGTCCGACACGGCATAACGTACATCAAACGCTTCCACATATCCCACAATTCACCTCCTCTTTCCCGAGTCTCTCCATCATCACATGAAGTTTTGTGTTTCGCAGAGGAGTTTCAATCGCTTCAAAATCCAGAGCTAGTCAGGCCTAAGTGCTAAGAGTCGTCGTAATTGCATGGCTGATTGTTGTACTAGTTGTACTTGTGATCCACTAGGCCTGTCGTGGCCCCGATCGGACTTGCACAGAATCATCGATCCGGATTGTTCTGATCATGTCAGAACGCTTCTGCTGAATTACCGCATACGTTCTTGTCTCTCATTCTCGAAAAGACGACGTGCTTCTCTCTCTGATTAGTATAAGAATATCATTCTGTGCAGTTTTCAGGAGATGTCCACTGCCATACGCATGTACCGCTCTGCAGCTTTGCGAAGCTTAAATAGCCTCTTTGTGCAAGCCGCCGAGCGCACAATCGACAATTTCGACAGGGAAGAAACTCGACTCTCAAACAAGCGACATCGCCGTATTCGTACCCTCCAGCCCAACGGACGAACGGGGTTCTTATGTCATTATATAACCGCTGTCACAACCTTGCTCAATGTTCTCACGTCAGCCGCCTGCCCCAGCGCAGTGCGTCTTCAAGGAACATCAGCTTGTTGGGATCTGATGCACCGCCCCTCATAAGACCTGCGACCCAAGCATCGTACACTGCAGAATACCCTGCTGAACACCCCCCCTGTACAGCTGTCTACTATGGTACATTCGGAGAACTAGAACGAGTCGAATCGCTGCAGCGCGGGGGTTGCTTCCGGCACGATCCTGGCCGCTGCCTGGACCGTGACCACGCTCTTGGGGCTGCTGGGCTCGCTGGCCGGCGCGAAGAGCAGCTCCACGGAGAAGTTGGGCCCGCACAAGTTCTTGGCCTTCTTGGACAGCTTGTCCAGCTCCGACCGGCCCAGCTGTACGATGCCCCCGCTCGGGATGAACGCCGAGTGGAAGCACGCCGTGAATAGGCGCCCGCCTCCGCCCGGCTCGCGGCACACCAGCCGGATGTCGCCGGAGACCTGCGGACACGGACAGGTAGCCGGACGTCAGGCTATTGGCCGCCAAAAGATGGCAACGCTTGGAACGGCTGCAAAAGGAGCTTTTGCGACTGTCTTCGGCGAGGTTGCACGGTAAACAGAAGCTTGCAGTTGCAGAGGGATGTGCGTATGATGATGCGTTTGAATTGCCGACTCTTCTATTGCTATTCCGGACAGGAGGAGAACGCGCGACTCCAGAAAAACGTCTCATAGGAAAGCGCCCGCAGCTCGCGTTTGTTTCTCAGAACAACGTTCCAGAATCTTGGAGCTTTTCTGGCGTCCTTCTTTTGCCCCGACGCCCGGGCCCCAGCGTTTGCCCCTGTGAAACCTCCGCAGAACGCGAAGCGCTTGCGACCCGCTTTGCAGGGCTGGCCGGAAGCAGGCTCACCGGGAGCGCTTCCTTGAAGTAGCAGTCGAGGTGGCGCCTCTTGCGGCTCGGCTCGGGCGCCATGTCGGTGTCCATCTGGACCGCCCACCGCGCTTCGCCGGGCGGCGGCGCGTCCCCATCCGACGAGTCGCCCTCCGACAACTCGAGCGGCTGCACGGCTTGCAGCGCGCTCTTGAAGAAGCGCGGGGTCATGGTGCGCTGCGGAGAGCCGAGGGGGGGTGATGTCAGACGAGTCGGGTTACAGAGACAGCGTGACGTTGCACAACTGGCCTTGGGCCAATCGCTTCAAGCTGGAGGAATATGCTTGGTCCTTCAGATACTCCACGTGATCTTTGCACATGATGCTGCTTCTGCAATACTTCTACTATACTTCTAGTATGCTTCTACTATACTTCCGCGAGGATGAAAAGCGCTTGCAGCTTCTTCTTGCCTGCGAACAGCTGTCGCTTGAATGCTTCTACAAGGACGAGTGCCTTTTCAAGATACCCGTAGCAAGCTTTCATCCTTCTGTCCACATTGATCTACCTCGCAATTACATCGCTGCATGGGCACTCGTTCCGTACAGCAGATGACAAGCCACAATTGGCACGAGGCAAGAAGTTCGAGGAAACTCGAGCGTGCTACCAACCTGGTGACCTCGCCTGCCAAGGCAGCACTGCCCACTAAAGATCTCCTCTGCCGGCCAGTACTCCATCTCTCGGCCCTCACCTACTGGCGGTCGGAGATGAAAGAGGGCGAAGTCGAGCTTCTCAGCACCTGCGAACAAGGGCGCGACATGGTTGCTGCTTACTTGAGCATACAAAAAGCGCTTCGTCTGGCCAGGGAAGAGCACGTAGCGAGACCAAAAGTTATCACTTTTTGCAATTCGGAACCCGATTCCAGCAGACAAACGATTGGGTCATTCAAAACCGATGCTCACCTGTCACGTCGTACAGTCGTATTCTGCGAAGTGGCCGGCCCTCCGGAGCCCTGAGCATATCAGACGATGCGCTCCTCTCAGCCTGGGCAGCGTTGAGAAACCCATCCTGCTTGAGGACACGTGGCAGCTTCTCGATGTAGCGGACGTAGCGACGCTGGCTCGCAATAGTGACCCCCTTCTGGTTGACCGTCCTCTTGCGAGCGTACATAGAAAGGGCCTCCTCTGGAGCCATTCCCCTGCAATCAAAAGTTGGAAAGAGTGGAATGACTCAGGGTTCTTGCAGAGCTTGCTGGGAGGCTCGCACCAACCACACTGGGAGCTCGATGTGTCAGGTGGTGCAGACTGGGAGCTCTTGAACCACCATTTTGTATGCGCGTGCAGCAGTCAAGTCAGACTTTGCACACTGCAGTTGGATGTGGATGAACTACAAGTGTGGCATCGTCGGAAACACCGGATAACAAGAGTGTTCATCGATCTGCAGATCTGGGCTGGTACTCATTCAGTGGTATCTGATGACAGGTGTTGATGTTGAGCAGCTGGGCAAATGCACTCACGTGTAGACCAGATACGCACAGACCATGACTCCTGTCCTGCCCTTCCCCGCTCGACAGTGGATTGCCGCTACATTATCCGGGTTTGCATTGAGCCAAGCGTCTAGGCTCTCACAGAATCTTTGCACCTGTAAAGGGAACCAATCGATCAGTGGTCAGCTTCAACACCCCATTGAATGGCACAATGCATCCGAACATCAGTCTGAGTGGACTAGGGACAAAAGGGGTATGTCCAGAAAGATATCTAATGACAGCTGTAGCCGCCAAACCTGAATTATGCACAGAAAAACACAAAAGTCCACAAGGGTCAAGCCTTTTTGGTACCGAAGGTGCTTGCACAGCATGATGCCTGGACCCACCATGAAGAGCGGAGGTACGTGGTGGTCATCTGATGGGAAGCGCTCCGTGCGGCCGTAGAAACAGCTGGACTCGTAGCTGAGCTCCTCGCACAGGTTGTACACCTACATGCATGGAGGGGCCGGAAGCAAGGTCACCATTTGCAAGACGACCAATCTCTGATTGTGCTGCTCAGTAACATGCGGAAGAGGTTTGTCCCACAATGCCATCATTGCAGCTTGGACTACATCACCAAAGCTTCGATTGCAGCTCTACAATCTGAGGAATAGCTTTGTCAGAGGTGGTTCTGTTGGGAGAGTGCTGGAAAGAAATAGTGCACTGTGCCAGAATCAGTCCTGGCCCACAATGCTGTGCTTACCTTGTAATGGTCGCCATGCTTGGAATCCAGGAACCGCCGGACCTGCGACATTGGGTTTCTGTACAGCGAGTCGTAGCGCTCTGCTGGGTAGCTCGTGGCAATGATGCGGTCAGTGATGTAGCTCAGGTCCAGGTCATAGCCCGCAGTCACAAGACGCCGGTGGTTCTTTGACACCAGAGCGCGCAGGTACCGTGTCAGAAAGAAGCCCGCCATTGCTCAAGCTCCAGCCGCCCCTCCTCCTGCCTTAGTGCAGTATCTCCACAGGGCTTCAACAAGAGATCTTGACTCTTGGGCTGCCGCGCCCTTCCTCAGAATTGCAGAGTTGCCCCTCTGCTCTACCTTTCTCGCTGCAACTTCAAGCTCAAATGACCCTTGCTATGAATTCAGACCGCTTGTGACTGCTACATATATTGCGTTCTGATTGCTAGACAGGAGTATGGGCAGCAAAAAAATTCTAGGTCAGGGGCAGGCTAATCAGAGTCTGTCCTGTCAAACTGCGCTGAAGGACGTGCTTCCTCCACTGGTGAAAGCAATGCTGAAGGTCCAAAGACTGATAACGATGCAAGCTTGCTGCTCTATTCAAGGTAGGTGTTACTGTAGCAAAGTATTCAAAATGCTGAAAGCGAGAAATGATCTGTGACACCTGGCAACATTAAGCCTACTGTGTGTTAGAATTTGCTGAAAGCAAGGCAACTTGTGGCAGCAGCTTGACGTTGCTGAAGCGCAGCAAACGGTCAATTGCTCCTTGTGTAGAGCGCAGCACAAACTCAGATAACTTCGAACTTCGATATTTGGAGGGCCTTGTTCTTGTGTGCAGCCCAGCTGCAAAGCACAGGTAGGCGCACACTTCGTTCCCCTTCCCTTCGTTCCACTTCGTTCCCCCCTTTTCAATTGATTATTGAGCCCAAAGCGGAGCACATTACCGTTATGATGAAATTTCTGACCACGTGGGTACTTCAAGGATCAATGGATTGCAATTTGCGTCTCCTCTTTTCATCACGACCGTTCACATTCCTTTCCTCTTGCATGACATCATGCAGGCTTCAAAGAAACCGCCAAACACCCAAAGATTGCTCGCGCACAAGGTGTAGGTCAACAGCAACTGTCCGATGATGGTCACTCAAATATCGAGCCGTCGATATCATATTCCGCAACGAACCCACGAAGGATTCCAAATGCGCCGTCATACAAAGCAAGCTCCAAGCGCCCTGACTGACTGCCTTAAACTAATGAGCAAGGAAAAAACAAGCGACTGGTAGCACTGGTCGCGCGTCTTTCGTACGCATGAATTTTTGTTGGATCATATAGGCTGGCCGGGAGCTGACACTGCCTACTTCGCAGGACTTTCCTGAGCAGGCCTCCCCACTTCCACCCACAACACGTGTCTCACATGCATCATTGTAGAACAGAATATTGCTCGCGCAAGACTCTCCTGAACATACGGGCCTCCCTCAAAACCTCCAGCCGCATGCTATTCAGACTCGCATGCAAGATTGTATATATCAAACTACTACGTTCCCCAATATATGTAGCTAAGCATGCCAAAACAACAGACTATTATGAATTTCTCCATGCTTGCAGGATTTTAAAATGCAATAAGACATTTCAAAACTTATCTACGCGTGGTACACCGGCGTGGCCAATTTAGTATTCCTCAAAAGAAACATGGGTAATCAATCACAGCGCACATAAAGACCGAGCTCAATCCAAACTGCGTTGGGTTGGAAAGCCTCATGGCCCAATAGCGGAATTTTACCCGAGCAAGTTTAAGCTTCATGCGACTTTTGACACTTGACGAGATTATGATGCAACAAAGCCTCACAGCCATCGACCGATACCTTCGTACTCATAGCTCAAGGAGTCCACCTTCCTTCTCGCATTCACGATTTGGTCCTTTTTCGTTGTTTTGAGGAGCCATTCGCTCCTAGCTTGCTACGAGACCCTAGAAGCCCTTTTTTCTTGTCGCTTTTGACTTCACTACCGCTGACCTCTACTTTCTTCTTCTTCTTCTTCTCATTTTTTCCCGGAGTGTCTCCGTTCTCCACCTCCCCGTGACCGTTTCCAATCCCCTTTTTCTTTGCCTTTTTCCGAGGCCCCACTGGGTCATCCTCTTTTTCCGTCTCTGGTACTCCCGCACCATCCCCCTCGTCCCTGATGTCATCGTCTTCTGCACCGGTCCCCTCCTCCGGCCCTTCCCCTTCCTCTCCCTCACTGACCCCTGCTTTCTCTACCCCCTCATCCTCTGGCCCGCTGCTCCCCTCGTAGTCACTGTCCACCACTTGCACCCGCTTTACCTGGTCCAAGCTAGTAATGCCGTACTGGCTCAGGTCTACCCCGCTAAATATCAACGGCTTTCCGCTCGGTTTCTCGAGCTCCGCGGGCGGAAGCTCTGGCGCCAGCGCGACCTCGTGCTGAGCCGCGGCCGCATCCTCGGTGGGCGCGAGCACGGACATGGACGCCAGCGTGTAGTCGAGTAAGAAGGTGCTCCGAACCTGGAAAACACGACAACAGAAGTTACGACACAGGAAAGACGCTTCACATAAATACTTTAAAACATGCAATGTGAGTCGACGGCGGACATTAACGGGAGCGGAACGATGCCACGATTTTGATCTACACAATCACAAGAGAGTACTTTGCTCTCCCCGCCCAGCTCATAAGGTCCCCAGATGTTGAAATGGAAAACTCTGACCCGTTTACCGTCAACGGCATCCAAGCTTCTTCTTGTACCACCTTGCACCAGTCAAACACAGACAAACCCTGCGCTAGTAGAAAGCTGGAGCAAAATTATGTCCGTTCTGCTTGGCAGAAAGCAGCAGACAAGGAGCTGCGGCACCCACCAGGCGATCCATCCGGTTGAAGTGCCGCTGCGAGTAGGGCAACAGGCCCTCCACAATCTCCTTTATTTGAGGGACCTGCAGATGTATACACGTATCTTCATGTAAGCCCAAAGCGCATAAGCCTTGCACACAGCTCCTCGGGAAGGCGCTTCAGCTTTCAAACAGGTCCAACTTGTTTCAAGAAAAATTTGGGGCCCAGCAATTCTTAAGAGGTGCATCCTTCGGACCGCTTCTAAAATCTCCTGACGAATAAGTAAACCGTTCATGCATTGGGGAATTTGAGATAGTATATTGGGGATATGGTATACATAGTCAAGCAGATAGGTCTGCAGTATTGCATTCGGGGGTTTGATCACTGAACACACGGGGAATGCAGGTCGACGATGCTTACCTCCGCTAGAGTGTCAGGAGGATGCACTCTGAATACGCCCGACAGCACCGCCTGCGCTGTGTGGCAGAAGCGCGCGTTTGAGTTCCACTCCCGAATGTAGGACAGCAGCAGCTGCGAGACAGGGAAAATATTAGCAAAATAAGCACAGACCAACGAGAAGGACTATGCGGAGTATGAAAATAAACTCAAGACCAACTGACGACCGATACGACATCGTCTCAGCAGGCAAAATGTGGCGTAGGCACTCTCTTAAGCCCGAGAACCTTGACGTGATGCAAACTAGACCACTGGTACATTAAGGTAACAATCCCCTCGTTTACGAGCATCGTTACGATCAAACGGCTCTCTGTCTCCCAACACTTCGTCCAGCTCTTCTGCACAGAACGCTCTCCGCCATGAAAACCACTTGCGTTCAATCTTCTTCCTTACAGCCTCCTTCCGCTCTCACCTGCAGGTGCTCCTTGTCCAGCCCCGCCACTGCGTGCTCCACCTTCTCCGCCCCCCCCGCCCCCCGCAGCAGCTCCTCGAACACTTTCAGCATGCGGAACGGTCGCCGCAGCTCGAACGCCAGCCGCAGCGCGCGCACGTAGTCCGTGGCCGCGAGCGCGTTGCTGAGGTCCTGGTCTTTCAGCAGCTCCGCCTGCTCCTCTGCTAGAGCCTCCGACTCGTCCTCGCGCGTCGTGTCCGCCCAAACGGCTACTAAGGAGTCGCCGCCGCCCGTCGCAAGGCGGGTCTCGTCGGGGCTTGCCGCCAGGGCCCAGATCTGGAAAGCAGGAGCGGAAAAGTGATTCGGTGGGCGGTGTGTACTGAAGACTGCGACGGTGCAGGGAAGAGGTGGCTGGGAAGATTCATCCTCTGGGAGGTGCTGGGAAGGAGTGCATCGTCGCGTGATGCACGATCATGGGAGTAGCACGGCTAGCAGAAGCAGTGTGATTAGCAGAAACTTTGTGAATGCCGCAGGGGTGCAAGGTCAGGATAGAGGAGAACGTTTTGTAACCCAGAACGCATGTCTCGCCTCTTCCACCCTTTGACAAATCAAGGACAGGAATCTACGGCAACACTGCGCTGGCCAAGGGAAGCCAAAAAAGTACTCTGCGTGATCGCTGAAACAGTGCACGTTACAGAAAAGAAAGGCAATAGAATCGCGTAAAACTGAACAATGCACGTCACAAAAAGAGAAAAAGTCATGGAGTCCCTGTACTTCGTCGAAATCAGAGAGAGGCGGCTCGCACTCACCTTGTCCTGGTGCTCGTCGAAGGTGTTGACGCACTCGTTGGTCCGGATTGTCCACAGCTTCACCAAGCCGTCCGCACCTGAAGCACAGGAACACGGGACCCGCTGTGAGACGTCCCTCTCATTTGCCTCAGAGACACACCAGAAGCCTGAAACTTCTGACAGACGTTCGTAAACATTTTGAACCCTCACCTTTTATCAAAAACCCTGTCTATAGCCAGGTTTTTCCGACAGTAGCAGCGCTGTCTGCTGCGCATACGCAGACTGCACAGGCAACCATCTTCAACTCCGCTGGGAGTAGAGCATCAGCGCTGCTGATCCCAAGGGTCCTGTATCGCGCACGTGCCTTGAAGCCCTCACCTGCTGACACGATCTGCGTGCCCCGGCTGAGGAAGGTCGCCCGCAGCACTGACGCGGTGTGGCCCTCGAAGGTCTTGAGGCACGACCCGTCCGCCAGGGCCCAGATGCGCACCGTCTTGTCGCCCGAGGCAGTCAGGACAGCCTGGAGGGAGGGGACCGAGATGCACGGTCAGGGAGGATTCTCAAAGTATGCGAGTGCCGCCAGGCACTCAACTGAGAGGCTGTGTTATAAAGGCTGCCGTGCGATTGGTTCCAAACAGAAGGCCAAGCTGAAGGGGGCGGTGTTGACGAATTCATGAACCAACGGGCTGTACTATACGTTCATGCATGGGCAGCCAAGCGGGCTACTGACGGCGTGACTGGTGTGAGAGGGCCCTTCGAAGTGCGTGATACGGCATTTTATCAAGTAATGCTCGAAGCCAGCCACAAAGCTTCAGGATGAAGCTCACAAAGACAGCACACGCTGGAATGCAACAGCCTGCTTCTCATACCTGATCGACGGGCGAGAACTCGACGGACCAGATCCCCCGCTTGTGGCCTCGCAACGTTCGGACGGGAGCAAGTTCGGGCAGCCGCCAGATCCGGGCCGTCCGATCCTGGAAGAAGCGAGAGCAAATGTCAGATAGACAGAAAAGAAGAACTCCGTCACAAAGCAGCTGAACAACCAGAACAAGGCACCCTCTAAACCACTCGAGCGTTCTTGAACGTGTGATTCGGAGCGACAGTGTGATGATGCAAGTGAAGCGATGCAGATTGCCTGCTAACATACCTAGTCAAGGAGCATGCATGAACCAATTCCCGGCGTCCTAAAGTGGGCGTCCTGGGCCCGATACGGCAGACGTCACATAGCGACATCGAAACACAGCTTTCAACTATCCTGCCGCCGGAAAGTTGGTATCAAAGTTCGTGCCCCGGGCACTGGGCCCTGCTAAATGTGGCCGGGTGATAATGTTGAATAGACGCCCTCTCCAACAGAATCGAAACGCAAGAATCAGCCCCTGTCCTGACCTGCGAGCCGGTGCACGCAAGGCTGTCGTTGGGCGCAATAGCCACGGCATTAATGTCCTTCTCGTGCGCCGCCACCACCGCCTGCGACTTTATTCCACCGTCCGCAAACAGCTTCTCCAGCGTCCAGTACTTGAGCGTCCGGTCGCTCGCCCCCGTGACGACAAACTTGCACCCGCGCCGCGAGAACGCGAGCGCGCCCACCGCCGCGGAGTGGCCCGTGGCAGAAGCGAGGCACGCCCCAGTGGCGACGTCCCAGATGCGGAGGCTGTGGTCCTTGCCGGCGGACGCGAGGAGCGGTTGCCCCGAGGGGCCGGTAGCGGCGTCCAGGCAGAGGACGATGTCGGTGTGGCCGATGAGGGAGCGCGAGCAGGCGCGCGTCGCCAGGTCGTACAGCCGGATCTGAAAAGGGGGTTCTGAGTTATAATGGCCTGAAATTCTGGATGCGCGGAACAGAGGGGGCATCAGGGGCCTTGAACGGTTCGAAAAGCGTTTTCGCAATCGGGACGAGGAGCTCAACTGGATGAATAGCAGTGAGGCTGGGCCAGGTCGTTGAGCTGGATCCGGAAAGGGGGGTGCAGGTTGAGAAGGGCCTCGAAGATAGAACTTGGCACGAGAATAGGACTGGGGCGCCTTTGAATGTGGGGCAAAAAGATTTCCAATCGGTAAGCGAGGCTTCATTATGCGGCCACCTGCGCAACGCGCAACCGGATCTTCTAAGATACCGGGTTTAAACGGCCTGTGGTGTCGGGAAAAGCCTGCAGTAGAGCTAGGGGGGTGCCACGCGGCGGCGGCGCACCTGTTCGCTATTGGTGGCCACCGCCAAAGTCTGCCCCTCAGGCCCCAGGAACCGCAGGTCCGTGATCTCGTCGTTGTAACCAATCAGCTCCTTCGCCATATGCAGCGCAGAGCCGGACGTCGACGCCTCTCCGCCGTCGGACACCTGCCCATCGCGCTCCTGCAACAGCAACAGTAGAAAGGTGGAATGGATATCCCAGAGAAACTGTTGCTTCGAAGCCAGAGAGCTGTGTGGAGAAGAGAAGCCAGAGGAACGGAAACAAGGCCGCCGTCGGATAACAGCCAATGGGCATCTTCGAAGGGCCCGTTCGCGTAGACCCGGCCGGTCTGAGAACTGGCTACAAAGACCCCGTTCCGCAGAGCATCATTTCAATGCATATCGTCGAGCATTTTCTTTATTAAAAGGCTTTCCCACATGTAGTTACAGTAGGACCTACATGACTGGATTACGCATACTCCTGTTGATCCACTTCTTTACAAACAATCAAAATCCCGCATGACTGCGAGACTCGGAACATCTACGGTGGCAACAGGCTAGAAAGCCAAGCAATGCTCCAGGCAGGCATTCACACCTGCTGCGCCGCTTCGTAGAAGACGAGGCGCTGGTCTCCCGTGGCGCACATGAGGCCGTCCCCGCCGTGCGTGGCCACCACATCCGTCAGCCGCAGCGCGGCCACCGCGCCCTCGTCTTCGCTCTTCGCCGCAGACGACAGCGCCTCCACCGTGGGCGAACGATACTCATACACGCACTTGGCGCTGCAGCAGAAAACACCCGAAACGTGGTGTCTTTCTGCTGCTCTGCCCCGAGAAGGACGAGGGCTCGTGCTCCTGTTTGGAAGGGTTTTGACGAAGCGCACTGCCGCTGGTACGGCCTTGTTGAACAGTCCCGCAAGTAGTAGGAGCCTTCACATCCGTCAACGGCACAGTCGCAGCTTCCAAACTATTGCAGTTTGGATGCAGAGGCACAAGAGTTGCTCTGTTGCTCGATGCGTATGCGGTCAAACGGGGTCACTTGTGGCTCACCTATCAGCATCCCACACGCGGATAACGCCCGACTCCCCCACCGTGACGAAGCGGACACCGGCTGGACTTTTCTTCCTGGCCCGCTTCAGAGCTGGCTCCAGGATACGCAGGGCGCCCGGTAAGGCCGACCCGGGGGGGACCACAGAGACGCCCTGCGGCAGCAGTGACACCAGATTATGTGCAGCTTTGGCAGTCACTCATACACTACAAACTCAGATGGCTACAGGAAAGTGTTTGAACACTTTTGAGTACTGGCCTTAGGTACAAAGTGTGGTGCGCAAAAGCACCGGACTTTCACCAGCCCAGCTTATTGAACGGTGTTCGAAGCAGATCTAGGCCTGGCTCAAAAGTGTGCTTTCGTTTGGCCAGAGAGCAACGTCAAACTTCAGCTGCCTGACCGTCTACATGAGGATTGCATAAACCACGTTCCGTCTCAAATTCCAATGATGAAACCGACCCCCCAGTCTGGCGCTGATCCCTCAGGAACTTTTTACAACGGCAAACGAGTTTCCTCAATTACCTGCAAATCAAGTATTGCGCCGAAAGTGGCATGAGCAACGGGCTACCAGAAGTAGGGACTGACCCCATGCCACAATCGGCCGGTTCGACCGGGCCGCATGTCCCCTCCCACAAACCACCCTTCCAATTGTTTTCGCTCACCTCGAGAGCCTCGTAGACGGGCACAGTCGTGATGAGCGTGTTGTCGCGCAGATTCCACGCATTGGCCACCTTGTCGCGCCCCACGCTAAGCAGCGTCCACCCATCCGTAGACACCGCCAGCCCCGTGACGGTTGAGAAGTGCTTGCGCAATGTTGCGGCGCACGTCTTGGTGACCAGGTCCCAGACCTTTACACTGGCGTCGTCGCCAGCGGAGAAGAGCTGCGCACCCAGGAGAGTCGGAATCATAAGGCCAAGTGGGTATGATCACAAGCACTTTGGCATACCGGATAGTGCCCACATTTATCTTTGCAGCTGCATCTGTCAAAGGGGTCAGAGTCTTCTTCTGTAGAAACCCGCAAGGAGACCCAAGCAGGGGAAGTTGCTGAAATGCTGGCAGTGATTATGCCATTTCCAAACGAAACCTTGGACATCGAGAAAATGATAGAGAGGTCCTTGGGATCAGATGGACTGGTTGATTAGGAGCTTTACCTGCAATCGGTGTGCGTCTGGGTGGAAGAGGACCCGGGAGACCACCCCCTGGTGCCCCTTGAACGAGTGGGTGCAGAAGCCCTTCTCAACATCCCACACGCGCACGCTGCGAAGAAAAGAAAAGTCACAACGACATTGCAACCACAGTTCAGAGACAGATCCACCTTGGTGCAGTTTGCCTCGACTTCTTCCCAACAATTCTCTATCAGCCTGGAGGTACGTGGCCGAGCATTTCTTCAGCAACGGCAAAACGGACCGTCGTCCATTGATGGGCGCACAATTATCCTCCCACTGCACTTTGAAGCTTGCACAAAATGTAACGCAAATGTCGCATGGCCTTTGAATTGAATACCCGCACCGCCCCCAGGTCGCATGTCCGCACGTCTTCAATCGGGAAGCATCAACAATCACTTTCCCACCTCCGTACCCCCCGCTCACCTCCTGTCCGTGCTTGCTGTTGCCAGCAGCCCCCCGGAGGCATCCACTGCCATATCCGCCACCGGGCCATCGTGTGCCTTCCAGCTGCGCCGGCACTCCCCCGTCTCCTTATCCCACCACTTCGCCTGCAAGCTGCGGCTTGCACTGAACACATTCCGCCCCTTGGGCCCCACCGCAACTGCGGTGATGAGCTCCGTATCCTGCAACCAATTGGCGATAGTCAGCTTCCAAATCGCAAAGTGGTAAAAACGTCAACCTATCAATGCAGTCTGACCAAGAGGGTAGGTGGAGCTCAAACATTGGCAGAAAAGCAGGTTGCCTATCCGTGTGTTTAGCACACTTTGTAGCAAGTGGACAGAAGAAGGGGGCAATGCGGGCCAAAAAGTCGAAATCGGCTCCTTCACATATGTTTACAGACCCAAAATCTTTTTGATATGGCACATAGCATGCTGAGATCAGCCCAATCTGAACTCACCCCTGGGAACGTTCTCAATACTGTGTTGCTGGCAATGTCAACAACCTGCAGCCACAAGTAGAACACTATTAAGCACCGGTTTAACATCAGACAAGCGAAATTGATGCTAGAATAAAGCCATGAAGGAGGCACCATACAACTGTGGGGCCTCATTAAGCACCAGGAGCCTTTGGAATGAAGCCACCATTACCGTGTAGGACACGCTGTCGGCAGTTCTGATGGACAGGTGGTATGCAATGAGAGGATATAGTGATGTGCGTCCTCTGGTGCTGCATTTTTGAAGCTTGGCTATTTTCATCAACGATGGTAGAGGGCGCATGGCTGATCCGGATCAAAGTGAGCCAACTCTCGCATTAACATAGCCAGAAAGAAAAGGCCCATATGTGGATCCAACGACAGAGCACAACTCTCTTGGACTCCCCCGGTTCTTTGAGAAGCCCAAGTCCTTCTTGCGCCTCACCTTCACTTCCTCTGAGCAGGGGCACACCACGAAGCTGCCATCCTTGGAAAGTGCTACACGGCCCCCAGTGTAGAACACCTCAAGCTTGGAGGCTGGGCGGTAGGTCTTCTTCAGCAGCCCCTTCCCAGCAATTGCTGGGGACGCCATCTTGTGGCAGCGGCTGCTTGAGCACGAGAAGGGACCCTTCTACTTAAAAACTGATGCCTACCAGTTTGACTGCCATGCGCAATGCTAAACTAAACCACCAAGAAGGACGCCATTCGAAGGCCAAAATCAGAAGTTGAATTGGGACACCATTTGACATGGATACATTCAGTGTTCGTGGCGAAACCTAATTGATTTCGCCAATTAGGTTTGCGCATTAGTTTGCGCATATTCGCGCAAACGGAGGAGTTTGCGCAGGCTGGCGAAATTAAGCGCGGCCGCGCGGCCGCGCGGCCGCGCATATGCGCGCAAGCGTATAATGCCTGTGTCAATGACATTCTGGGCTCAGGTGGCAGTTACATTTGACCTTGTATAAGCAGTCTGCATTTGAGGCGGCTGTTAGGTGGGTTAGCGTCAGACCATCACCTATTTAGGCACCAAATCATAGGCTGGGGCGCCCGAAATCGCATAAGCATACAGGTAATTTCGCCAATTTCGCCAATTAGGGTGAATTTGCGCTTCAGCAATTAGTGTTCGCGCATTTCCGAAAACAATTTCGCCACGATCACTGGATACATAGCTTTGAGCCATCCCCCAGTTCTGTCGAAAGCGGAGTCCACATTTTATTTAATACCTAGTCCTAGATAAAAGATAAGATTTGAAACCATTCCCGTTTCAATGTTTGTCGCTGCCCGTTACCGCCAACAGGGATGTCACGGCATCTCGGACCGCAAGCAGACTTGCACCTGCGCCTGCGACAGCCTGGCCATATTGGCTTGCCACTTCCTCTTAGGAAGTAGGCAACCATAGGAATGGGGCATTTCGCCGCTGTACGACGCCGTGACGGAGGCAGTT